GAGAGGAAAGAAAGAAAGAAAGAAAGAAAGAAAGAAAGGAAAATGAACCAAAAAAAGAAAGGAGAATGAACGAACGAAAGAAAGAAAGAAAGAAAGAAAAAATGAATGGAAGAAATATAGAAAGAAAGAAAGAAAGAAAGAAAGAAAGAAAGAAATGAAGAATGAACGAAAAAAAGATAAAAAGAAAAAAGAAAGAAAGAATGAACGAAAGGAAGAAATAATGAAAAAGAAAGAAAGAAAGAAAGAAAGAAAGAAAGAAAGAAACAGACAAACAAAGGAAGAAAGAATAAGACGAAAGGAATCCGGGTGGCGATTAAAGAAGCAAAATCGAATTCCGTGAATGGTTGGTATTCGGGGTGGCACTAGCGGTATCTAATTGACAAAGCCGTTCACTTTGAAGTTTTCCTCGGGTCCGCCGTGAACAAAAATATAGGCCAAGTCTTTCACACTAAAGCCTTCCCCCATGAAACTTGTTCGTATCGTGTGTTTAATCCTTCTTTCTTTCCCATCCTAGATTGATAGAACGACTTCGGGATGTTTTATGATCGGACACGGCTTGTAAATGGGAGTGATCGCTGCGCGCGAGAAGCCGGTGCATCACTAGTGTATGTATCATCGTATGGTAGGTGGGGAGGGCCCATGTCTTGAAGGAGGGGTGCTACCACGTAAGTAGTAACGAGGGCCGGTGAATAAGGTTGTAAATATTGACGGATTTTTTAAAGAATGTTGTAAAAAGGTGTGCGTAAGTGTTTGGGGGTGGTTGTGGGACGCCCGGTGGCAATAAAAAGAACATATATCCCACTTTGAATAAGACAGCATTCAAATAAATGAGCCTGTTGAAAACGAAGAAAGCTGTGATGGGAATGGGGACAGGGAAATAAAGAGAAAAAAAAGGACAATAAATAAATAATAAAGAAAGAATATACAGCGTCTGACCTTCAAAGGTTTAGTTACCGAGTGAAATTCAAATTATATAACTCTGTTGACCTATCAAACTATCTATATATGTATGCGAAACTTTGATATTCAATACAAAATTTGTCCAACTCTTGGATATGTTCCATTTAAGGTCCCTTCGGAAAAAATTCTGAAAGAAGTCTTCGAGAGATAAAATCAGGGACGAGGAAGTGATAAGACGTGCAAATTCTAGAAACTTTAGTATATAATGGTGGTAGATAAGCGGACAGAGTTCGCTGGCCACTTCCCTCAAACTTTCATGGCATTTGCTCCGAGTAGCTTCATTCGCTGGTTCCCAGACTTCATGAGTTCAAGCACCCTACGAGGCTGGCATCCCGCTCTCACCTCTTCACTGTCGAAACTCCTAAATGTAGCCGTCTCTTCGACTCCAATAGCTTTATGTCTCGCACCTCTCGCCTATGGAACTCCCTTCCCTATTCCAGTTTTCCTGAGAGCTATAATCTCCAGCTATTCAAATGTAATGTCAATCGACATCTCCAGTTGCCTTGATCTATCCACTACCCTTCTCCTCATCCTTTCTTCTATCGCTCCTATCTGATCTTGCTCCAAATTTTTCTGTAACCCCTTTTGTCCTAGTGGCTTCCCGCCTTGCTTGGGGTGAAACGCTTAAAAAAAAAATAAATAAAAAAATAAAAAAAAACTACCTGAGAGTTAGAGAGTCAAAGTGGCGCTAAACTGGATATCCCGAGGCTGCAAAAGATCAAAGAGTTGTTCTAAAAGAACATTTTTTTAATCAAATCGCCCCAAGGAAGGCGGGAGTGTCACTAGCACGCAAATGGTTACAGAGAGTGAGAGTAACAGTAAAAAGTAATGTTTGGAGAAAAAGGATAAAGAGAAGGACAAAGATCAAGGTCAAGGTATCAGAAGATGTCGATTGACATTACATTTGAATATTTGGAGATCATAGCTATCAGGGAAGCAAGTGATAGGAAAGGAGTTCCACTAACAGGAGGTGCGAGATAAGAAGCTGTTGGAGTAGAAAAGATGGCTACGTTTAGTCGTTTCGACAGTGAAAGAGTGGGACCGAGATGCCAACCTAGTAGCGCGCTTAAATTCATGCAATTTGGGAACCAGTGAAAGTAGCTCGTCGGAGCAGTTGCCATGAAAATACTTGTAGAAAAGACAGAAGGAAGCTACAGCACGTCTGTGAGAAAGCGACTACAGACGAGATGCTAGATCAGGACCAGACACATTGCATATCCGTCTTTGGATTTTGTCGAGGACCTCGAGATGAACAGCGGGAGCATCAGACCATATATGGCAGCAGTTTTCCATGCAAGGATGAATGGTTGATTTGTAGATTTGCAGGATGGATAAGGCGAGAAAAACCTTCTGGCGCGACACTAAGTGGGAAACGTATGAACAGACAGCATCTCCTCCAGTATCTATCTATCTATCTATCTATCTATCTATCTATCTATGCTTGTTCGTATTTATCTATCTATCTATCTTTAAATATATCTACTTAAATATTTATATATATACATAAACTTTGATATGCACTCCAAACGCCAAACCAGCAAGCCACCTTTCTCCATCACACACAAACACACACACACGTATACATATACACTTACGCACATGCTCACATATAAACACTTATATATATATATATACATATATATATATACATATATATATATATATATATATATATATATATATATATATATATATATATATATATATATATATATATCAAGAATATTCTCTCTCTCTATCTCTCTCTCTCTCTCTCACGTACACACACACACATACAGTGGCAGTGAACGCTCATCATTTCTCAGTTGCGTCTCTGTTTTCGGGCGTAGTGCGACTCGGTTGTAGCTTTGTCTATGCAGTTTGGGAACCAGTGAAAGTAGCTCGTGGCAGCAGTTGCCATGAAAGTGCTCGTAGAAAAGACAGAGGGAAGCCACAGAACGTCAGTGAGAAAGCGACTGCGGACGGGATACCAGATCAGGACCAATCACGTTGCATATCCGTCTCTGGATTTTGTCAAGGACCTCGAGATGAACAGATGGAGCACCAGACAATATATGGCAACAGTTTTCCATGGCGTAATACAGTTTTTAAAAAATCAGAGAAGAAATTTCAATTGGTTCTTTGCATCTTATGCAAGATTGATCTTGGCGAAAAATAAAGTGTGTCCCATTGGTGTGTGAGAGTTACAGAACAAGGAATGATGGGAAAAGAAATGTAAGTTAAATTTATTTAAATAAATATCAAGGTTTTCGAAAAATAACTACTTTGTTCTGGAAGAGGTAAAATAAGATCAGATTTTTGTGTAATGGTGGCAAATAAGCCGATACAGTTCATATCATGTGTCGCAAATTAATCGAAACAAAATGAATAATTCCGTAATTATTTACTTTTTTTTTCGTGCAATATTGCGTGTTCGCAAGATGTAGAATAGTGTCCGAAAAAAACAGTGGAAATAATGTGACAAAGTGGAAACGTTCCGAAGAAAACTCGATTCGCAAGTTACAGGAAAAAAAAGAACATTCTAATCTTAATATCTGATAGAAATATTATCTCTTCTAAGAATTCTTACACATGCAAACTTTATCAAACAAATATATATATATATATATATATATATATATATATATATATATATATATATATATATATATATATATATATATATATATATATATATATATATATATATATATATATATACACGAAATTCGGGCTATATGACGGTTCAGTATAGGATACAGGTTCAATTCCTGTCGGAGGACGCATATTTTGTATGAAAATTTCTCGGACATTCAGGCCGGAAAATGTTGTTTAATACTGTTTATTATAAACAGAGCATTTACTTAAATATTTGTATCTATAAAATATTGTATAAAATGTCTTATATATATATATATATATATATATATACACACGTTCTTTTGACTATCCTATCTAAGCTTTCGGCATATATATATATATATATATATATATATATATAATAGATATATGTGTGTGTGTGCGTGTGTGTCTGTGTGTGGTGGACTCTCCCGTCGAATTCGACGTACGAGGGTCAAGCAGCCCAGTTCCTAGGAACTGACAGCCAGACATCAGGCACATGAAATTTGGTTATATTGGTGAAAGCTTTGTGAAGAACCAACCCCACTTTTTGAAGGTGCGAATAAAGAGACCTGGTGCACTAGGGTTTTGAATTTGAAGTTGTCCTTCTCCTAGACCAGTTGCCATCCAAGGCTGTAGAAACCAGTCTGTCCTGATTTTTACCCATAGGTGAGGGAGAAGAAGAGTATTAATAACTTTCCCAATGGTATTAGTGAATGTAATGGATTCGACTGAATTGAACTCTGCTCTCATATATATATATATATATATATATATATATATATATATATATATATATATATGTATATATGCAATTACTATATATATTATTTATCTATTATATATACGCGATACGCGAAAATGAAGTTGAATAATATATATATATATATATTGAATTTGTATATATATATACGGCTTATTATATATATATATATATATATATATATATATATATATATATATATATATATATATAAAAATGAATAAAGAACACGGTCATTTACAAATTTGTGAGTAAAGTTGAGTCTGTTAGTTACTGTGGCGTTTTTAACTTTATGATAGCCAATTTACAAAAGTGGTCTCAAACTTTTTGTTAATCACTATATATATATATATACAGAGAATTCAATATATATATATATATATATAAAGACAAAAGGCAAACTCATCTTAGCCGTTTTTTTTGTTTTTTATCAATACAAATATTCATATGCATAAAGTCCATATCCTTTGTTTTTTCCTTAATAACAACGTAAAGATTTTGGAGATAAAACTTTCTTATTTTTTTTTTTAAATTTGAGGCCTTTTTTCACCATGATATGCTCATTTTTTAGCGAATCTTTTGTGGTACATATTTATACTTAGTTTTATTCCGTTTCAGTTATCATTGTCTGCTGTCGTGTCGATATCCGAATTCCAAGATCGAATCAAGAAATCGATGATTATGATCGAAAAAGAAGTGAAAACAAGAAGTATATCAAAGAATTAGATTCTGCCGTGGATGGAGTGTACGGCCATACAATGGCCCGTGGGCTGTAGTTAAGGGACGGAGAAGAAGAGAAAAAAAAAGGGAAAGAGTGAAAAACAAGGTCTGTCCAAAAAGAAAGAAAAAGAAAGAAAAGAAATTATTTAATATTCAAAAAAAGAATGAAATTTTATATATGAAAAAAAGAATAAGAACAAATTTCATGCAAAAAGAGAAAAATAAATAGAACAATAAATGAAAGAAAAAGGACACAATGTGACAGAAAAATTGAAGAAAAAAATGAAGAAGGAATAATCAAGACGGAAAAGGAAGAAGGAAAAATGAAGAAAGTAAAATGAAGAAGAATAATGAAGAAGGAAAATGAAGAAGAGAAAATGAAGAGAGAATAATGAAGAAAAAAGAAAAAGAAAAAGAAAAAAAAGAAAAAGAAATAAGCAGAAAAACCGAAAAAATATAAGAAGGAAAAAGTAAAAATTTCCTAGAGAAAAATGAAAGGAAAAATAAGGAAGAAAAAGAAAAATAACAAGATAAAATGAAAGATAAATATTAAGAAGGAAAAAGAAAAAAACACAAATGTAGAAAAAAAATAAGAAAGAAAAAGAAAAATAATCAGATAAAATTATGAAAGAAAAAGAAAAAACGGAAGAAAAAATAAGAAGAAAAAAAGAAAAATAAGCAGATAAAAGGAAGAAAATATTAAAAGGAAAAAGAAAAAATTAAAAAAACGAAAGAATAAGAAAGAAAAAAATAATAAGATCGAATTAAAAAAGAAAAAGAAAAAACGAAAGAAAAAATAAGAAAAAAAAGAAAAATAAACAGATAAAAGAAAATATTAAAAAGAAAAAAAAAAGAAAAAATATGAGAAAAATAAAAATAATAAACTAAAACGAAAGAAAAAGAAAAAAAGAAAAAGAAAAATAATCAGATAAAATGAAAATACTAAAAAATAAAGAAAAAGTATACAAAAAATAAACGGAAAAATAAGAATGAAAAAGAAAAAGTAAATGAAAGAAAAAAATAAAATAACCAAAAAAAGAATAAATGAAAGAGAAAATTAACTAAAAAAATGAAAGAAAAATTATGAAAAAAAGAAAAACAAACAGGAAAATGAAAGAAAGAGAAAGAAAAAACGATTAAAATAACAGAAAATTGATAGAAAAAAGGAATAACTCTTTCCTCAATACGTAACCTCAAAATGTTGACTACCTCATGCGTATTGTAAGTATAAGTAACTTTGTTGATCCTATTTTCCTTAAGGCGGCCGTGTTTCTCAAATGTTCTCTCAAAATGGCATTGGATCTGTGGGACCACATAAATGTCGCTTTTAGACTCTTCTTTACCTGTGAGAAAATCCGACAAAATTTACTCCCATATAAAAAAATTAAGAAATTACGTAATAGTTTAGTACACATTACTTTGTTTCTAAGGAAATATTCCTATTTCTGAATACTTTCGCAATTGCCTTCGCTATTACTTGGTACTTCTTGGTTCCTGGAAGGCATTTTTTCTATTGTTTAATACCTGGAAAGAAGCTTTCACTATTCCGAAACGAATCTTTTTCTTTTATATTCCCGTGTCTCGTACGCGATCATGGCCCTCCACCTCAAGAACAGAATGAAAGGTGTAATATCAAACATTCCACGTGAAATGTGTGTTAAGGCACTAGATTGTACTGTTTATCGCTGACTTTTGTGCTTCAATCGTGCTGGTGAACAGGAAGAGACTGTTCAGGAAACTCTAAATAAAAGCTTCCTCTCATACTAGTGCTAACATCATTTTGACTAACCCTGTATATGTTTGTGTGTTCAAGTGTGCATGTGTAAACTGCAAAAAGCGACTGTAATTCCTCAAGGCATTGCACATAAAATGCAAGCAACCAAAGAACAACAGCAACAATATTACATCAAACCAATAATAAATAAAATAAGGAAAAAAAAATTAATTTCATAAGTCGAAAATAAATTTAATAAATGGCATTAACATTAGGAAGAATACAGTATCATTGAATACATTTTTAAAATTACTTGACGAAATAACACTTGAAAACAATTTTAGGAAATAGGAAAACGAAAAAAACTATTTTACATTCTGTGTTGGTTACAGCGCTCCACGCTCTCTCGATGAATATACCTTAAAAAGATAAAAAATAAAAATTTGATTCTTGTATATAAAAAACTTACAGAAAAGATATGCAAAAAATAATATTGCATTTTTATCAAATAAGTATTTATCATTTTAATCATTAAATTGTTTTTTTTTTTAAATAGTTTGATCATTTTGTATATTAAATAACAGAGGTTTTAATTTTTCTAAAAAGTATTAATGAAAATTTATTCTACTAAGCTATACATCCTAAGAAAATCAACTGTACTTTGTACCCCACCACTTACCTGTTTCCACTTGTCCCCAAAATTTGGTTTTGATCGATCAATGTATGGGTATTTTAGAGGGTGTGCTGAACTGTTACTTGGTATCTGTCCTACTGTATGGCAGGGAATGCTGGACAATCGTCTAAAGGATGAAGAAGAGACTTAAAGCAACAGAAATGTGGTTCAACAGAAAGCTGTTGTGTATAACAAGGGCTAAACATGTGAGGAACATCGAGGTTTTGGAGAAAATGGAAACGAAAAGGAAACTTAAGCTTAACATGAGAAAGAATCAATTGAAATTTCTGAAGACGTAATGAGGAAGGAGGGCTTGGAAAATTTGATACTCATGGGGCATATTTAAGGAAAGAGGGACAGAAGAAAAGCAGCCCGTAACATATTTGGATGGATGAATAGAGTTTGGGGGAAATAAAAAAAGGCAAAGTTTATTAAGAGCTAGAAGGGGTTTACGTAGACGATTTTTTGTGCTTGTTAAGTGGGGGGAGTATAACTGCCTATGTGTAAAAGACTTGTAGCAACAGAAATGTGGTTCTACAGAAGGATGCTGAGGATACCATGGGCCGAACATGTGAGTAACAACGAGGTTTTGAAGAGAACGGAAACAAAATGGAAGAGGCAGCTGATATTTCTGGGTCACGTGATGAGGAAGGAGAAATTGGAAAGTTTAATAAATGACATTAATATTAGTGAAAATAAAGTGTTATTACAGAATATTTTTGAAATTAAAATTACTTGACAAAATAACACTTGAAAACAATTTTAGAAAATATGAAAGCGAAAAAGACTATTTTACCTTCAGTGTCGGTTACAGCGCTCCACGCTCTCTCGATGCATATACCTTAAAAAAAGAAAAAAAATAGAAACTTGATTCTTGTATATAAAAACTTAAAGAAAAGATATGCAAGTAACAATATTGCATTTTTATTAAATAAGTATTTGTTATTTGAATCAATGAATTGTTGTTTTTTTTAAATAGTTGGATTACTTTGTATATTAAATAACAGAACTTTTAATTTTTTTCAAAAGTATTGATTAAAAATTTATTGTACTAATTTACGCACCCTAGTAAAACCAACTGTACTTTGTACACCCCTTTCTTGTTTGCACTTCTCCCCATAATTTAGTTTTGATCGATCAATGTATGGCTATTTTAGAGGGTGTGCTGAACTGTTTCTTGGTATCTGTCCTCCTGTATGGCAGAGAATTCTGGACAATCGCCTTAAAAGATGAGGAAGATACTTGAAGCAACAGAAATGTGGTTCTGCAGAAGGACGCTGAAGATAACTATGGCCAAACATGTGAGCAACAACGAGGTTTTGGAGAAAATGGAAACAAAAAGGAAACATAAGTTTAACATCGGGAAGAGGCAGTTGATATTTCCGGGTCACGTGATGAGGAAGGAGGGATTGGAAAGTTTAATAAATGACATTAACATTAGTGAGAATAAAGTGTCTTTGCAGAATATTTTTGAAATTAAAATTACTTGACAAACTGACACTTGAAAACAATTTTAGAAAATAGGAAAACGAAAAAAACTATTTTACCTTCAGTGTCGGTTACAGCGCTCCACACTCTCTCGATGAATATGCTTCAAAAAAGAAAACAAAAAGGTAACTTGATTCTTGTATGTAAAAACTTAAAGAAAAAAATATGCAAAAAATAATATTGCAATTTTTATTAAATAAGTATTTGTTATTTTAATCAATGAATTGTTTTTAAAATAGTGAGTGTCTTTTGCATATTAAATAAAAAAACTTTAAGTTTTTCACAAAAAGTTATTGAAAATTTGCAGTACTAAGCTATGCACCCTAGTAAAACCAACTGTACTTTGTACCCCCGCCTCATTTAACTGTTTGCACTTCTCTCCAAAATTTGGTTCTGATCGGTCGATGTATGGATATTTTAGAGGGGTGAGACGGATGTGCGGATGAACAGAAGTTACAGAATTTTACTTATAGATAGATTTAATTTCTAGCACATTTGACAGTCTCAGTCCTTATCAAGAACTTGATTTTTCACCCCGAGCAAGATAATAAAGCCACTAAGACGCCAAGTGGTTACAGAGTGTAAGAGAATGTGAGGGAAAATCATTCTTAAGGAGGAGGAACAATAAAAGAACAAGAATTAAGAAGACAGAAGACAAAGATTGTAATTGTATTTACATTTTGGAAAATTAAAGTTGACTGGAAAGCAAGAAGCCGGAAGAATTCCACAAGCGAGAAGTGCAATAGAAGAAACCGTTGGAATAGAACTTGCGGTTGCGTCTAGCCATTTCAACTGTAAAATGATGGGACCTAACAGCCAATCTAGTAGTGCGCTTAAATTGATAAAGTCTAGATACTATAGAGGAAAGTGATATTTATTCTGTGAGAATACATAAATGTGGTACAAGGCCAAAGGGGGGGGAGTAGCCTTCTTCTGTCTTATTTTAAAACTTAGCTAGCCATGATCCCTGACCCAAACATACGACAATATTTTTTAAAATCTTGAAGGTATTCATAGAAAAGACACACGGAAGTTACATTTCGATAGTGGCGAAAGTGACTAAAAGGGAGATGCTAGGTCATGACCATTAACATTGCGGACTCTTTGGATTTTATCAATAATCTTTTTAATATATAGCAGGAGTGCCAGGCCAAATGTGGGCGCAGTATTCAAGGCACGGATGAATGGTAGCATTATAAATACGCAAGATACATTCTAGCGAGAAAAATTGTCTCCGACGACATATTGAAACTACTTTCTTAGCAGCTGACCTAGCAATGGATTCAATATGGACTTCCCACTCTTTGACAGCCGAGAACATTAACCCGAGAGTCATTCTCCTGCAGGATAGCATCAGCCATGCTGATGGAGGAGAAAGACTTATAAATATGTAAGGTAAATTCTGTCGAGAAAAATTGTCTCCGACGACATATTGAAACTACTTTCTTAACAGCTGACCTAGCAATGGATTCAATATAGTCCTCACACTCCTTGACAGACGAGAACATTAGCCCGAGAGTCACTCTCCTGGAGGATAGCATCAGCTATGTTGATGGAGGACAAAGACTTATAAATATGTAAGGTAAATTCTGTCGAGAAAAATTGTCCCGGACGACATATTGAACCTACTTTTTTAGCAGCTGACCTAGCAATGGAATTCAATATAGTCTTTCCACTCCTTGACAGCCAAGAACGCTAGCCCAAAAGTCAATCTCCTGGGGGATAGCATCAGACATGCTGATGGAATGACAAAGACTTATAAATATGTAAGATAAATTCTGTCGAGAAAAATTGTCCCGGACGACATATTGAAACTACTTTCGTAGCAGCTGACCTAGAAATGGATTCAATATAGTCCTCCCACTCTTTGACAGACGAGAACATTAGCCCGAGAGTCACTCTCCTGGAGGATAGCATCAGCTATGTTGATGGAGGACAAAGACTTATAAATATGTAAGATAAATCCTGTCGAGAAAAAATGTTTCCGACGACATATTGAACCTACTTTC